TGTAGCGTATTGAGGGGCGAGTCGCAGCCCTGCAGACGGCAGTCGACGCCTTCTACAAGGCCAAGAATGAGTTTGCAGCCAAGGTTTGGCCCACTCTTTCTAAGAACGCCCTTATTTCCCCTCCCAGTCTCCTCTCCTTGTCCCTCTCATCCTTATCCTGCCTTATCCCTGTCCCTAGGCCACAGAGGATCAAATGAGGCTCCTACGCCTGCAGCGCCGCCTAGAAGATGAGCTGGGGAGTCAGTTCCTAGACCTGTCTCTACACGACACGGTCACCACCCTTATCCTTGGCGGCCACAACAAGCGGGCGGAGCAGCTGGCGCGTGACTTCCGCATCCCGGACAAGAGGTAGGTGAGGCCCCGGCTGCGTTTAGGTCCTAGGACCCCTGCCCTTCCTGTAGCACCTCTAAGCCCAGCTTTCCCCACAGGCTCTGGTGGCTGAAACTGACGGCCCTCGCAGATCTGGAAGACTGGGAGGAGCTGGAGAAGTTTTCTAAGAGCAAGAAGTCGCCCATTGGCTACCTGGTGAGGCAGGGGCCCTTCTCCCACCCCACTACCAGGGAGGGTAGTCCTGGGGAAAGGACCCGGCCCGGAGATAGGCCAATGACTTATTCATACATTTGTTCAAAATAGTTCGTGGGTGCTTCCTGTGTGTGCACATTTGTGGGCCAGGTACACAAGAGAATGGGCCCGAGTAGGCCTGCTTTCCCCCAGGAGGACCACAGGGGGACCCCACGTGCCTGAGGAAAAGTCCTGTTTGAGTGGAGGTGGAGGGGGACAGGGAAAGCACATCTGCAAGGCAGTGGAGGATATTGAGGGGGCTTGTTTTCTGTGGCAGTTGGTTTAGAGATGTGGTGGGTAGGTGGGGCAGCCATGAGAGAAAACGCAGGCCCTGAAAGGGCAGGAAACGCCTGTTGCGAGGGGGTGGCAGTGGATGATGGCGTGAACGCATGGAAATAGTTGGTCTCAAGGCTCTAACAGATCTTTGGTTTAGGTTGTTTCTGCCCTGAGAATGTTGAGATCACACCTCTTATAGGTGTGTGTCAGGGCAGGGATGGGAGAATTATATACACTGAAGGGTATATAAAATATACAGGTACAATGTATCCAGTAGGCTTTTGCTCGTAAGAGAGACAAGAAGGCTCTGCCTTATCTTCTCCCTCCATCCCCTCCCTCTCTAAGCCCTTTGTGGAGATCTGCATGAAGCAACACAACAAATATGAGGCCAAGAAGTATGCTGCCCGTGTGGGTCCAGAGCAGAAGGTCAAGGCCTTGCTTCTCGTTGGGTGCGTCGGCTGAGAGCCCTGTGGATGCTGGGGGTGGGGCGAGGGGGGAGGGACTGAGCCGGTAGACTAACGAGGGGCATGGTTTGTGCTCTTGGTCAGTCCAACACATCTCCCTTCCTGCTCAAACCACAGGGATATGGCTCAGGCTGCAGATGTGGCCATTGAGCGCCGGAATGAGACAGAGCTGAGCCTTGTATTGTCCCACTGCACCGGAGCCACAGACGGAGCCACGGCCGACAAGATTCAGCGGGCCAGGGCACAAGCCCAGAAGAAGTGAGGAGCCCACCCTACACATCTCCTCGAGTCCTGGGCTTGGCAGAAGTGTCGCTGCTTATCCAGTTCCTTCCCCAGAGCTAAAGAACTGGGGTGGGAAGGGAGCCAAGGGTCTGGTTGTAAATAAAGTTGGAACATTTTAGGGTGCTTGTCTTATGCAGTCCCGCCTAAGCAAAAGCTAGCTGGAGGCAGAACCATCCAAACACCTCAGCAAAACTCCATGTGTTTTTGTGGGGTCTGGAGGATGAGCTTCTCCAGCTATATTTACAAGAGACCTAACCCTCTGCACAGTTACCAAGAAAAGTCCTTCAAGCTGTCAGCCCCTAGAAAGATCATGGGGAGAGATGGCATAAAACGTAAGCAACAACTCAAGAACCATACTGAAAAACATTATACACACACATAACACAAGAAACATACTAAACATTTTACCATTTCATTTATTCCACACGCCAGCCCTGTGAGATAGGTAACCTCACCGCATTTTACAGAATTGGAAATTGAGGACTGGGGAAGTTTGGTAACAGTGAATATGTGGCAAAATGGATTTGAAACCATGTTGGGCATTTGGGGATCTTAGAGCTAGCTTCTCCTTGGCTGTTGTGGTGACAGAGGAGGGATGATTTAGAGCTGGAACATAACTGGGGCCCTCTGTGAGCAGGGGAGCCTGAGCAAGGCCGCTGGTTTGCACCACTGTGAGTTGAAGGACTAATGAGAGGCATGTTGTAGGGGTTGGAGGAGGAGCATTTGGAGTCCCCGCCCACTGAATGTGGTGAGCAATTCCTAAGTGGTCTCTGGGCTGAAGAGAAAAGGACGGAATTCTTTTGGCAATTCCGCCAAGGAAGAACAGCAAACGAGATCCCTGGCTCCACCCCAGTGGAGGCTTCATCCCGTCAGTAGGAACACCTTGGCCCTCCAGTTAACCCATCTCTAGCCCTCAGGTTGCTCTCCCATACACCTTGTCTTTGTGTCCCACCACCCCCACCCAACACTGAGGGCATTACCTTTTCCTCTTGTTACCCCCTTAGTCTAGAACAGCGGTTCTCAACCTTCCTAATGCCGCAACCCCTTAATACAGTTCCTCATGTTGTGGTGACCCCTAACCATAAAATTATTTTCGTTGCTACTCTATAACTGTAATTTTGCTACTGTTATGAATCGTAATGTAAATATCTTTTTGTTTTCNCAGCATCACTGGCCCATGTGGGAATTGAACCGGCGGCCCTATTGCTCAGAGCTTGCGCTCTTAAGCCAAGTCTTAATCAACTGAGCCACTCAGCCGGCCCGTTTCGACTTTAATTTTGTTAAAATACCCAAGATTTTTTTCTGATGTGGATTTTTTTTTTTAACATTTAAATTTTGAATTCCATCTGGGAAATATGTCATTGTAGAGATTAAGTAATGAAATAGTGTTTATTGTGATTCTTCCCATATGGCCCATTGTCTCATTTCAATTATCAATTTGCACCAATTTGAAAATGCCAACTTTATTAAATGCTCAATTCTCTGGTCTTTTTCTAGATTCTGTTCTCTTCCATTGATCTATTTACTTATCTATGCCAAAACAACAGTTATAAATAACTTTAGTTTTATATAGTATATTGTTTGTGAGATACATATATATATATATATATATATATATATATATATATATATATATACACACACACACACATATATATATATATTCATGTTCTCATATTTTCAGAGTTTCTTAAATATCTTCCAGTATTTTCTCTTTCAGATTATTTATTTTTTTACCCCAGATAACTGTAGAATCAATCTGTTCTTCCCTCCCCCCAAAAACTGGGGGTGATTTTTATTGGAATTCTTGTGCATTTATAGATCATTTTGGAATATTTGTCCATGTCTTCTATATCCTTGAGTAAACTTTGATTTGATTTTATAAACATTTATATTAGATTTATTCTTGAGCATCTTATAGTTTTATTGCTATCATGATTAGGATTTTTCTAAAGTTATGTTTCTAATTGGTTCTTGCTATGGTGTAGAAAATTAATTGGTATAGAAAATATATTGATTCTTGCTCACTAGCTGAGTTCTTTTATTCATTGTTGATAGACTGCTTTGGATTTTCTAAGTAGACAATCACATTATTTGTAAATAGTAGCAATCTCACGCCTTCTCCAAAATAGAAAGCTCTCTTTTATTTTTTTCTGAAATTATTTTGGCTAGAACCCCAAGAAGGATGCGAAATAGAAGGTGATGGTGGACATCTTCCTGATTTTTAATGGGAAGGCTCCTGAAACAGTGCCAGCCAAAACACCCTCCTTTTTAAACACTGTTTTTTCGTGGCGTCCTGGAGTAGTGCCTACTCCTTCTCTGTCGCCCCTTCCCACCTCCAACCATTAAATGATGGCGTGTCTCAAGCCTCGTACTCCATCTTCTCATGCAGCAAACACTCTCCATGCACATCTCAGATTGCAGTCACCTCGTGCCGGCTTGTGATTTCAGTTACCTCCCGTAAGCCAAGCGTTCAGATTGCCATCTCTAACCGAGGATCCTCTCGCCAACTCTGGGCTCGCTGAAGAGCTCCTCTTGGATTTCTTTCAGGCACTGCCTACTCAGTACCTGGGGAAATGAGTTCTTTATTAACTAGTGATGAGCAGGACCCCTGGGTATGAAGCCCACAATCTGATTCAGTGCTAAGAACCAGAAGTAGAAGAAAGGCTACCTACCCTGAGAGACCCTCTTGGTGGGTTTTATTTCCCGCTAATGTAGGCCCCAGCCAGCCACCTCAGCTGGTGCTACCTCATTTTGTGCTCTGGATATTGGCCACGCAGCCTGCGTATCCCACAAGCTCCTGCTATCTTTGCTCACTTGCCCCAAGAACCACATCCTTCCCTGCCAACAGCATGTATGTGGCTGTTTCTAGTCATCACCCCCGTAACCGGCCCTAGGCCTCCTCAACTTTCCTGTGGAGAAGTGGAGGCATTAGGGGTTCCTCTGGGACTCACTCCATTCGGATGCAGGGACACCAGGAGGCTAATTTCTGTTCGCCTCTGTGTGCACAGGAAATATGAGCTATACAGCATGGACTGGGACCTGAAGGAGGAACTCAGGGACTGCCTGGTGGCTGCTGCACCCTATGGGGGCCCCATTGGTATGTCAGCCCTCTGCCACTGCATGCTCTGGGACCATGGGATGAACTCAAGGTCCTTGATTCCTGGGGGTCTTGCTGTCGGCTCGTTCTTGCTGGCATATGCCACCCTACCCCTACCCCTCCATCCACATTGAGATGCTTTTAATTCTGATTCTCATGAGGCCCACTTCATATGGAGCCGGTCTGAGGAGCTACTTCATGAGGCCTGCTTCACATGGGGTAGGTATGGTGAGCTAAGACAGGAGGTTTCTTCTCAAACCGCAGCACTGCTGAGGAACCCCTGGCGGAAGGAGAAGCCTGCCAGTGTACGGCCAGTGCTTGAGATCTATTCTGCTTCTGGCATGCCTCTGGCCAGTCTGCTGGTGAGCACCCTGGCCCACCCCGGAGCTGGGGCTGGGGGCTGGGCAGGGCTTGCGCATCCCTAGACAGCCTCAGGAACTTCCTCTCCTCTGCAGTGGAAGAGTGGCCCCGTGGTGTCCCTGGGCTGGTCAGCTGAAGAGGAGCTGCTCTGCGTGCAGGAAGACGGTGTAGTACTGGTTTATGGGCTTCATGGTGACTTCCGGAGACACTTCAGCATGGGCAATGTAGGGGCCTCAGGAGGCTGGGGGAAAGCGATGGAGCCTGTGACCCTGTGGCTTCTTTAAGGCCCCTCTCCACTTTCCCCTCTCCCCAGGAGGTACTCCAGAACCGGGTTCTAGATGCCCGGATCTTCCATACTGAGTTTGGTTCCGGAGTGGCCATCCTCACGGGGGCCCACCGCTTTACCCTCAGTGCCAATGTGGGCGACCTCAAACTTCGCCGAATGCCAGAAGTGCCAGGTGAGCGCTGATACCCCCGAGACAGCCATTCAGTGCCCACAGATGAGCTTCCAGACTGTGGGATCAACAGAGGTAGAGGCTGTGGGCTCTGGTCATCCTGAGGGTGTCCTCTTCTGTGACCACAGGTTTGCAGAGCGCACCGTCGTGCTGGACCACACTGTGCCAGGACCGAGTGGCACACATTCTTCTGGCTGTGGGGCCTGATCTTTACCTCCTGGACCATGCAGCCTGCTCTGCAGTGGTAAGGGCCTGAGTGGGAGTGAAATGGAGGGACTGGGTGAGGGAGGCTCCGAGAAGTCACTATCTCTGATGTCCTCCCCGGCTCTGCCCCAGACGCCCCCTGGCCTGGCTCCAGGAGTGAGCAGCTTCCTGCAGATGGCTGTCTCCTTCACCTACCGACACCTGGCACTCTTCACAGACACAGGCTATATCTGGATGGGGACAGCTTCACTCAAGGTGTGATCCTGGGACAACACAGGGAAGATCTGATGGGGGTAGGGGAGGGGCTTCTCAACCTGACTGCTGGGACACGGTTGTGACCTTTCCCTGCACCTTTTCAGGAGAAGTTGTGTGAGTTCAACTGCAATATCCGGGCCCCTCCGAAGCAGATGGTCTGGTGAGATTGAGGGTGTTATGCTGGGGGTGGGGGTGGGGGGACATAGCCTTGTTTACTGGGATACCTTGATTTATCCTGTCTACTGGCCATGCCAAGTGGAGCTTGCATCTTATCTTCTCTGCCAGTGCACACTTGAGGGAAACCCCTGCCCCCCTGTGGGCCCCAGATGCCCCCAGGAACTGACAGCACAGGGTAAGACGGAAGCAGACAAGTTAGTCAGAGGAATGAGATAAGGAGCAGGAAGCATGTGTAAGGCTGTCCCAAGGCACAGTGATATAGGCTGTGATGTGGGAGACCTGGCTGTGGGCCCAGCATGCCATGTATGTCTCAGACATGTATGTGTGGTGCTGCCCACAGGTGCAGCCGTCCTCGCAGCAAGGAGAGAGCTGTTGTGGTGGCCTGGGAGAGGCGGCTAATGGTGGTGGGCGATGCACCTGAGAGCATCCAATATCCTTGGAGGACTGGCTGTGGGGTTGGGAGGGAAGAGTAGAGGGGGTCGCCCTCACCCTGCCCATGTGGGCGACTCAATTTCTTGGTTGAGTGGGTGCTTTTGGAAACCTTGACCAAGCTCAGATTTGTGCTGGATGAGGACTCCTACTTGGTACCTGAGCTGGACGGAGTCCGCATCTTCTCCCGCAGCACCCACGAGTTCCTGCACGAGGTTCCAGGTGAGGCCCTCACAAGAGCACCACGTGACCCAGGGGAGGGGATCCTAGGCACTGCCGCTAGTGGGCGAGCGCCCCAGAGCAGGATCAGGGCATTGAGGCATTGAGGTGGAGCTGAGAGTTCCCTGCCCTCCTACCCCACTCACCATCTCCCTTCCCCAGTGGCCAGTGAAGAGATCTTCAAAATTGCCTCGATGGCCCCTGGAGCACTGCTGTTGGAGGCCCAGAAGGAGTATGAGGTAAAGCCCTGGGCTTCTCACCAGGCCCCAGGATGCTCTCCTCCTTCCCCTTCCCCTGATTGGCCCAGCCCCCATCCCTGCTTGGGCATGGGTGGGCACAGCCAGGTACCACCTGTGAAGAGAGGTGTCTAGGCAAGATAACTAGGCTGGGCTGGGGAGGGCAAGGTCAGGTGGACTAAAATGACATGGGGTCCTCCGTGGTGACGAGGAGGAGCAGGGAGCCCCCAGCCCAGGCACAAGTCAGGGCTACTATCGAGAGGTCTCAGGGCTTCTCCTAGGCAACTGTGGGCTGATAAGGGGGGGTTTGTGAGCACCTCGGGTGGACTGAGTGAGCTGAGGGGGTTTGGGGTCTGGCCTCTGCAGCCCTTTCAAACCAGCTCATTTGAACCATAGCCCAGAGGGGCTAAGGGTCAGATATTGGGGGTGTTCTCCATCATGATGCCATATTCCTGACACCGTCTCCTCTCTTTACCCCCAGAAAGAGAGCCAGAAGGCGGATGAGTACCTGCGAGAGATCCAGGAGCTGGGGCAGCTGACCCAGGCCGTACAGCAGTGCATTGAGGCTGCAGGACACGAGCACCAACCGGACATGCAAAAGAGTCTGCTCAGGGTTGGCCAGGGTGGCAGAGCTGAGGGGAGGGGCGCTGGGCAGGGGTGGGCTGTCAGGGGAGAAGCTCTCCTCCATTGCCCTCTGGTTCTTCTCAGGCGGCCTCCTTTGGAAAGTGTTTCCTGGACAGATTTCCACCTGACAGCTTCGTGCGCATGTGTCAAGACCTGCGTGTGCTCAATGCCGTTCGGGACTATCACATCGGGATCCCTCTCACCTATAGCCAGTATCCCCAAGCATTCTGGAAGCGTGTTCACAGCCAGGGGTGGCAGGGGAAGGGGCTGCAGATGCCGCCAGAGGTCTTTGGCTAATAGGACTTATTCCCCAGCTGGATCCTTAACTGACTTAAATGCAGATACAAACAGCTCACCATCCAGGTGCTGCTGGACAGGTACAGCAAGCTCAAGGGTGCTAGGAGGAGGGCTCTAGGTGGGCGAGCATTACAGCCCCTGGTGGGATCTTGTAGTCACTGCTCCTGACCTATTTCTTTGGGATCTGGGAGCCCTGAGTTACAGGTTGGGGCTGCTCTGCCCTCTCTATCCCACCTCACCCCTGTACCCTTTATCCCCCTTGCCTGCCAGGCTTGTGTTGCGGAGGCTTTACCCCCTGGCCATCCAGATATGTGAGTACCTGCGCCTTCCTGAAGTGCAGGGTGTCAGCAGGATCCTGGCCCACTGGGCCTGCTACAAGGTGAGGGTGTAGGACAGGGTCCAGACCCTGGTGAGGTGTAGGAAATATGAAGTGTACTGAAGGGTCAGGTCCTGATCGAGGGCAGAGGGGTGAGATCCAGGTGTGTATGACACCCCTTCCCTCCGCAGGTGCAACAAAAGGACGTGTCCGATGAGGATGTTGCTCGGGCCATTAACCAGAAGCTGGGGGACACGCCTGGTGTCTCTTACTCCGACATTGCTGCACGGGCCTATGGCTGTGGCCGCACAGAACTGGCCATCAAGGTGTGGGCTCCCAGTCCTCCCCAGATGCTCTGACGTGGGTATTCGAGGTCCCCCGGCCAGCTCCTTCTCTCTGTGCCTTCCTCCCCACCCCACAGCTGTTGGAGTATGAGCCACGCTCTGGGGAGCAGGTACCCCTTCTTCTAAAGATGAAAAGGAGCAAACTGGCACTGAGCAAGGCCATTGAGAGCGGGGACACTGACCTGGGTGAGCAGGATTTGGGTGAGGCCAAGGCTGGGGCCCCGGGCTAAGCGAGGGACCAGGTTACAGTCCCCACCCCACTTGATTGTCCCGTAGTGTTCACAGTGTTGCTGCACCTGAAGAACGAGCTCAACCGAGGAGATTTTTTCATGACCCTTCGCAACCAGCCCATGGCCCTGAGTTTGTACCGGCAGGTGTGTGCGGTTGGCAGGGGTGGGGCTGGAGCCTCCCGAGCCCCTGAGTTGGCCTTGCTGACTGCCTGCCTGCCCTGGCCTCAGTTTTGTAAACATCAGGAGCTAGAGACGCTGAAGGACCTTTACAATCAGGACGACAACCACCAGGAGCTGGGCAGCTTCCACATCCGAGCCAGCTACGCTGCAGAGGAGGTCTGAGGCCCACNCTGCTGCTCAGAGCTGGTGCTCCCAAGCGAGCTCTTAACCAAGTGAGCCACTCAGCCGGCCCTCCAAGAGTTTTAAAAACCATTTTAAACAGTGCTGCAGTGAATTCATACCTTTGTGCATTGTGCAAATAGTTTTATAAGTTAGACTCTTGGAAGGAAATTGCTAAATCAGAGGCTGCATGCATTTAAAAGTTGGGTAAATAGCACTTCATTTTCTTCCATAAGGGCTGAACAATTTATACTCCCACCAATATGTATGAAAGTGTTCATTTTTTCCACATCTTCAACAATATCGGATGTTATTAACCTCTTAATTTTTGTCATTCAGTTGGTCAAAATATAAAAACAATCATTAAATTCGTATTTATCTAGTCATTAGGTATGTGTCTATATTATCCTTTGACTGTTTTTCTATTGTGTTGTTTCTATTGATTTGTAAAGGAACTCTGTACGTGTTCGCCACATTAACTCTTTGTTACAAATGTTATGAAGTTTCTTACAGTGGTTACTTGGCTTTTTTATATATTTTTAATGTACAGATTTAAAATGTTTATGTAATAAACTCTATCAGTATTTTCCTTGATAATTTCTGAGTTTTGTGTCTTGCTCTGAAAGACTTAACTGTAGTTCAGGTAAAAATATTAGGTTATATTTTCTCAAGTTTTTTATGTTTTTATTTTAAATATTTTCACATAAAGTAGTATGATATAGCCCTTGACCATCCCATCTTTCTTTTAGCTTTTCTTTTTTAAAAAAATTAATTCGAGCCTTTTGTATTATTTTTTTAATTGGGGAGTTGAGGGAGGGGAACAGTGTTGGGGAATTGGGGAGAGGGACCAGCCAAGTTGTTGTCCTTCAATCTTAGTTATGGAGGGCGCCAGTCGCCATCTGGCTTCCATCGGCAACTCGTGGCCTCTAAGCTCAAGGTGCTGTGTTCAGTCTTAGTTGTGGGTGGGCATAGCCACCATCCTATGTGGGAGTCGAACCCGGCAGCCTTGTTGTTCAGAGGGCACGCCCTATCCACTGAGCCATCCGGACAGCGGCTCAGCTCAAGGTGCTGAGTTCAGTCTTAGTTGCAGGTGGGGATAGCCCACCATCGAAAACGCAATCTTGTTGTTACACCAGCTGAGCCATCCTGCCACCTGTTGGCAGCTCAGAGACAGCCCAGNTAATGTAAATATCTTTTTGTTTTCTGATGGTCTTAGGCGACCCCTGTGAAAGGGTTGTTCGACCCCCAAAGGGGTCGTGACCCACAGGTTGAGAACCGCTGGTCTAGAAGGAAGACAAAGGAGGAAACCAAAGCCCAGAGGGAGTGCAGGCCTCCCCAGAACTTCCAGCTTCCCCTCTAATGCCCCTAGGGCTGAGCATGTTGAAAAAGTGAAAGACTGGGCCTGGTAAGGTGTTGCTTTTACTTTTTCTTACCTCACCTGATTTATAAATGTAAAGTTTTGTGAAAATCCTCCAAATGAATATAAATTAAATTGTAAAACAACCATTTATTATGCTTACTACTTACTACGTGGGTCTAGAATTTGGACAGGATAAAACAGGAATGGGTTGTCTGCTCCACAATGTCTAGGACAACAGCTGGAAGACTCAAATGTTGAAAGTGACTTGATGGATGGAGGCTGAAATCGTGTGAAGGCTCGGTAACTCACAGCCTGGCAATGGAAGCTGGTTATAGACTAGAACCTTAGCTGGGGTGTCAGCCAGAACACCTACAACCTGCGGTACCTCACAACATGGCCTCCAGGTCCCAAGGGCAGCATCCCAAGAGAGCCAAGCAGAGCCTTCCCTAACCTAGCTTTGGGGGGTCACAGGGTCACACCTGCCACATTCTGTTTGTCAAGGCAGTCACATAGGCCTACCCCACCCAATTTCAAGGGGAAATTGACTCCACCTCTTGATAGGGGAGCAGCAAGGCTCGGGAACAATGTGTAGAACTGGAAATGTGGCCAGTTTTTGGAATCATAGTCTGGCACAGCCTATTAGGTTTCTCTCTTAGAATCAACAGACGCCTCTGGGAAAAGGCAAGGAGATCCCCAATACTAGACTCATCATTCTGGGCTTTTTTCCTCCCCAGTCTTGGCCTTGCAATTGCTCACTGCCCTGGTAGCTCTTCTGTGCCTTTAAAAAATGTTTTCTCCAGCTTTTCTAGTTCTCAGTGAAAAAGTGTTGGTACCATACAACCCAGTCCACCCTCTCTGGTAGGGGGGCCCTGGGCAGTGCTTTTAGAAAGTACACGATAAAAAGGCTACATCCCCAAAGTTACAGCATATTTATTTGTGATAAACATTAAACACTGTACATGTGAAGTTTTAGAAATATGTGACAAGTAATGATTACATTTATATAAACAGTAATTACAACTTCATAAGTGTATGCATGTGGATGGAGAAGCACTGGAATTGTCATGGGCAGAGTTATTTGAAAATTAAAGGCAGCTTTATGTACTTTTTTGTAAAGTTAAACATTGATTTTCTCCAACATTTTATCATGAAAAATTTCAAACATCCAGCTAAGTTGAAAGAACTTTACAGAGAACACCTGTATACCCTCCACCTGGATTCTACCATTAATATTTAAATATATTTACTTTATTATGTTTCTATCTATCTTACTAATCTCTCTTATTTTTCCAATATTACTTTTTTTTTTTTTTTTTTTGGCTGAGCCATCCTGTCACCTGTTGGCAGCTTAGCAGCAGCTCAGCTCAGGCCAGGACTCAAACTGCTGTTGCTCAGAGCTCAAACTCTTGAGTGAGCTCTTAACCAACTGAGCCTAATCTCTTATTTTTAAGGCATTTCAAAGCAAGTTGCAGTAATTAGTACACTTACCTCTAAATATCTCAGAGTGCATTTTATTAACTAGAGTTCATTATTTGCATTTTTTTTCTTTTCAGACAAATCTATATGTAAATCTCAGATCTTAAGTGTACATTTGCTGAGTTTTGACAAATGTATACACCTATAAATAGGGATATTTTAAAAACAACTGGAATTATTTTTTTTAATCCTCAACAGATCAATTGAAATGAGTGTAAATTACCTTCTACCCTGAGGATCTGCACAGCAAGCCTGGGCCTACAGTCATAGGTGGGGCCAAATCCTGGCCTAAGGTTGGGCTAGGATTGGGCCTGGGGCCAGGATTTTGGAGCTGGGGTAGAGAATTTATAAACATTTCTTCTAGTTTAGGATATTAATGGCAGCCCTGGAGTGAGTCAGGGCAAAGGCTCCTACAAGTCACCTTCTCAGGGTAAAGGGACTACAGTCTGTTTTAGGTACAAAGCACTGGCAAATGACTCTTGGGAGTAGAACAGTGACTTGGAAAGGCACTTGGCTCTCATTTACTTCAACTTTCTATCTTATTGCCTTTGCTTTGTTTTCATTACAGCATTTAGGAAGTTTTCTTGTTCACTTGTTTATTGTCTATCGCCCCAATCTAGGATATAAATTCCTGAGAGCAGAGACCTTTTCTTATTCCCTGCTGTGCCCAGCACATGGTCTACACTCAGTATTTGCTGAGTAAATGACTCATTATTCCATTTACTACATGGGGAAAGGAGGCCCTGAGAGGGAAAGTGACTTGTCTACAGAAAACGGAGTTCTTTACCCTCATTCTCCAGCTCTCCTTCTAGTCCAGGATCCTGTGACTCTTTGGGGTACCTGTGGGCTGGCTGACACGTGCCTACCTGTAGGTATATACTCCTGTGGGCTAGGACTAAACCAGGACTGGGAGCGAGGGCTTCGGCCTCCCACTCGGGTGGTCCTGGGTACAGGAAGCCTGCCTCCCCTCCCTCAGTTCTTCCCCTCTCCTCTTCAAAGCCAGTCTTTTATCCTCTGGTGATGGGGACACTATAGACACCCCGGACATCAGGTAGGACAAGGAGGCTGGCAGGTTTCCACAGGTGAGCAGCTGATGATGGAACTCTGTCCTCTCCCACTGGAAACAGGGACTTCGTGGTTGCCAAGCTGAACTCGCCTTCTCCAGGTCTCCAGGATGGGACACTCAAGGCCCTGCCTCTCCTTGGTCTGAGGTTCTGACACCCCTGTGCACACACCACAAATGCTCTGACCACAGTGCAGCTGTCTTGTGGAAAGAAGGAATTGCATTTCCTGAGACAGGGTTACTTGCCTAGTTGTACATGCCTGCAATTCTCAGTACAGCCCTGGGAGGTTCTAAGAAAAGTAGCAGAGGGAGATTCAGGTCACCTAGCCAACGGTGAGGTTTGAACACCAAGGCTCTCTGAAACGCACATCCAACTGCAGGATTTTCCCAAGTGTGGTCAGATCGTCTGGACATCCTTCAGATGATTTCAAGGATGGACACTTTTTATAGCTATTTATTTTAATGTATGTTAGAAAATATAAGTATGTCAAACCCTTTTAGGTAATATAAGTAAAAATATAAATTGACCAAAAGAAACATATCAAGACATAATAGGGTAGGTAAGGTAAAACTATGCTGGTGGGGTTTGGTACTAGGATGCTGCCGCTCTCCTAGCTACCCAGGAACCTCCCACACTCAGTCATTGTTTTCCAGGGTTTCTAAACACTTGGAATTCAGACTTTTCACTTTCCTATTGGTGTGCTGATAGACTGAATTTGGACTTCCTGGGAAGTGAGAATGGTGGGCATGTGGAAGAACCTGCCCTCATTGGCTGCCCCTGGGATCTAACAGGAGACTGGGCTTGTGGCCTGGGAGTCTTTGAGCTGGAGTGTCTATCTGGCAGAGGCGCCTTGGGTTTGGCCATTTCACACCACCTGTGGGCTAGCCCGCTGAGAAGGAGTGAGAAACACATCTACTCAAGGAGAGACTTCTTTGCAGGGGAGGTTCTGGCCTGAAAGAGGCCCACTTGCACCCCGAATTTGCAGGCTATTGACACCGGTCAGGATACACTCACTCATTCCACAAATACGGGGGATAGAGTTTTAAGCTGGCCCTTCAACTGCAGGCGGTGGTGGGGACTGGAGGTGATAGTGGCACCAACCTCGTGTAAATGGCAGCTGATGTGTGTTTCTCTTGCATTGAAATGTCCCCACCGCACCCACCCTGCCATGAAGAATTGCCGACAGCCACAGACCCTCCCCCTGGGGTGCGCTGAGCGTGGAACTGTGCCTGGCAGGAGGTGAGAAAGGGCGGCTCAGAGGGTTGCGGGCTCTCCACCGCCCACTCCGGGCAGCGCAGACTCGGGGGCTCAGATGAAGGGTTCCCCGCAAGCCCCGTTTGCACAATGCTGTGCAGTCTGTCTCCACCCTACAGACGCCCAACCACTCTTCCTGTGTGGGTCCTGGTGTGGCCGAGGGACGCCGCGTGGGGTCACAACTAGAAAAGGATCTCACCCGCTACCCACCAGAACTGGGTAATCGGCCTTCAGCCGCAGACGCCCATGTCCTGCTGCTTGGGAACCCGCTGCCGCCAGACATACAGACAGATTGGGGCGCCACACGTGGGGCGGGGAGCGCTGGGGAGGAGGTTTGTGCTCCCCACCCCGTTCCTAGCTCCGGTGGTGGTGGGACGCATCTCCGGGTCATCTCTGAGCTTTGAACCTCCCCTTCCCTGCCAGGCCTATAGCAAACGACACCCCCACCGCAGAGCACCATGTGACGTGTTTCTTTCTACCCAGCTCGGTGACGAGCCAGGCCCCGGTACGCGCATCTGGAAAGCGGGGAAGATTTCCCTGGGGCTCGGGTGTGGATGGAGTGGGCTGACTTGATGTAAGACGAAACCCACGGTGCCAGGCCCGTTCTAGGGGCTTTGCAGGTTCCTCTCTCTGACCAGTGAGGGCCTTCGTCCTTTAAATACCTTGCCGCAATTGGGGGGGGGGGGTGTGGAAATCCGAATGGAACACGTTTGAAGAGAGAAGTGGAAAGACCGCTTTTGAATTCCAGGCTGCCATGGTCGCTGGACATTGGTGTAACTTGTATTTGGTCTCAGTTTCCGCATCTGTAAACTTGGGAAGAAGGCTCAAGTCTAGGGGGCTGGGACTGTAGAGAGGCGGAAGGCCTAAGTGCGCGGGCGGCCGGCGCTCCCGGGGTCCCGCGTCCCCGAGGACAAGGCTGCAGCAGGACCGGCGTCTCCCAGGCCGCTTGAGGGAGTGAGTCGTGAGACCCTGCTCTGCGCCTCCGGCCAGCTAGCTAGCGCTTGGAGGCGTGCAAAGGCGGAGCCCGGGAGGCCGGGAGACGCCCTTCGGTGGAGGCCAATCAGAGCCCGTCTCTGAACGGCCAATGAGGAGGCGCCTTACAGCCCAGGCCGGCTCGGGAGCGAGGCTGCGGCGAGTGCGGCGCTGACAGAGACGCGCGCGAGAGAGCCAGCTCGGACCCCGGGCCGCTGCCGCCATCACCGCCGCCCGCCCAGTCGCCCCTCAGCAGCTTCTCCTCGCCATGGAGGCGAGGCCGCCGCCGCCGCCGCGGGGCTCGCAGCCGCGGGCCGGGCGGCGGCCCTGAGGGCGTGTGGCGGGCCGAGACGCCGCCGCGGAACCGAGGCGGAGCCGCCGTCCTAGTCCCCAGCGGTCCCGCCCAGCGCCGGACTCGGTGAGTGTTCACGGCCGCCGCCGCCCCGAGGGGCTTTGAAACGGGGGGCGGCTCCAGGCGCGGGGGAGAGGGATCCCTGGCGGGATCCCCAATCCCTCGTTTCCGGGTAGAATCCTTTGGGCGTCTCTAGTCGGCTTCCACATCCTTGCACTGTCCGGAAGGGGGGTCCCCGGAAACGTGCCGGACAGGGTGCCGACCCCTCTCGACTGCCCAGGAACTTTGCGTGCGTCCTCCTGGGGCCAGGCCAGGGCGCTGCCATAGTTCATTCTGAAAGAAGAAACTTGGAACAGTGAGAACAGAATTTGCTCAGGTCCATTTAATGGAAAGAAAGAGGAAAGAAAACTCCTGGCATGAGAAAATTTGCTGTTGAAGTGATCAAGTTTTCTTTCCCTTAACGCCCCCCTTTGCCCCTTTCCCAGGCTCCTCTTTTTATTCCGCCCACTCCCAACTGTTGAGGCTGCTTAAGAAGGGAAATAGGAGCCCAGAGCTGCCCCAAATTTAAAATGAGCCAATTGGGAATGCACATCCCCTCCCTTTTTACTTTTGGTAAATGAAGAATATCGGTTTTTGAAAAATTAGCTCCTAATTGTATTTCCAGAAGATAATGGCAGAGCCGGCCCAGTGTTGAGGGTTTTGTGGGGGTTTTTTTGTCTTTAAGGTGAGTGATGATGTTGGTAAGACAGGAAAAGAAAATCCAAAACCTCGCTAGGGTGGGTGAGTGCCTTCAGGAGCCTTTGCCCAGAGTAGGGATTCCTGTTCTAGAAGGAGTCACATCTCCCCGGAGATCGTTTCACTTGGCCACCTGCTCGCTGTGAAGGCAGCGCTAGAACCAGAAGATGGTGGGCGGGGAGAGGCTTGCCGATGGAAGAAGATGGGCGAACATCTTCCTGCCTGGCCACTCCTTTAAAAACACAGATCTGATGCTGTCACTTGTTTACTTAAAAGCTCCCTCCCTCCGTTTCCCATGGGCCTTGACAGTCTTGCCTCAACTTACTCGCTTTGAGCTGAATCCGTCAATTCTCCTTCACCTCATCCACCTCCCTAGCCATTCCCAGCTGCTTGTCTGCCTCTTCACGTGTTTGGAGGCCTTTGCTTGTGTGGTCCTCTGTCCTCCCCACCTTTACCTGCCCGGCTCCACCTTTTCTTTTAAAGCCTTTCTCACTAGGGGAGCTTCCCGAGGTCAGGATCTGTGTCTTTTGTACCTTTTCATCTCCCATACTAAGAGGATTCTCCCAGTTGTCTTGTAGGTCATATCCCGTCTCTTCCCCCTTAAGCCTTGACTCTGTTTACTTCCAGGTTCCCACTTCCCAGGAGAATCTTCCCTGTTTCCTGAAGGCTTTCTTGGAGTGCATGCCTAGGACTTTTAGTAACTCTGATTCCCCATTTCCATTCCATCCTGGCCCCATAAGTCGTCGGCAGACAGGAACTGGCAGGTCTCATATCCCACTGGCCTCCAGTCTGCTTGACTGTCTCTAAAAGACCAAAAGTCCCACTGTGTCTTCACCTCTGCCTACCGGAAGTGGCCTGCCTGATACGTGTACTCTCAGGCATGGTGGGATCCAGGAGGCTGTTCACTGGGTACCTTTTAGCTACTTATTTACCATATGGGTGAAAATCAGAACCAAAAAAAGCCAAACCTCTGAATTAAGTACATTCATGTGCCTTCTATTGCTAGGGGAAGTGCTTGGGATCCAAAATAAAAGTGAAGTCGGTTAAATCTTTACCTTGGAGGAGCTCACCGTCTAATGCAGGACAGGTGGATACAATTACTCCTACATACATCACAGTTGGTATGCAAGTGTAATAATAATAACTATTTTCTTTGCCTTGTGACAGGATATGTAATAAGTGTTTTCCATGAATTATTAATTTCAACAGTTATGTAGAGGCTGATTCCTACTCTACAAGGGTGGAAACTGAGGCCATACAGTGGGCGGATGAGGGAATAGTCAGGATTTGAATCTTGGCGGTCTAGTTCCAGAGCATCTGCCAGGCTGTGTAGAGAGCCTTCCCTAGGTGGTCTAAGAAAGCTTTCCTGGGAGGGGGACTTTGTGTCATGAAGGGGGCGTAGGAGTTTGTGTGTGATAGACACTATGCAGGAAAGAGGGAGGGAGCAGCACAAGTAGGATTGGAGGTGGAAGGAACCCACTGTCCTTGGGGAGCAGGGAGAGGTTCAACATAGTAGGATTGGGTAGAAGGAAGAAGGGTGGGAAATGAAATTAGGGTGAGCTTGATGGGCTATTTATGTGCTGTGTTAGAGTTTGGGTATTAGAAAGCCACCGGAGGACTTTAAAGGAGGTAAGGGACTTAGGTTGACTGGGCTTTTGAAAGATCATTCGGGGCAGTGTGGTGCCAGATGCTGTTGCCCCTTTAATTGGGGAGGCAATGGCCAGACCTAGAGAGGCAAAATCATAGCCTCTTAGACCCAGAGGGAGGCCTAGAGAGAAGCCTGCTCTCAGTTTTGAGAAAAGATAATAAGTATATAAGAAAAATTCCAGCAGTACAAGAGGACATATAGAGAAAAAATAAGTCTCCCTCCTACCCTGACCTCCCCAGATATGGCTGAAATTTCCAGTTTCTGTGCCTTATATAGACACTGTTCCTTTATAAACACGTGTCTACCTATCTAATTCCCCTGTGATACATGACAATCACACCTTGCTCTTTTTCACTTAACATATTTAGGAAATCATTCCATGTTAGGACGTATACTCATAGCATAGCACCGTTCATTCTTTTTATTGATATTCTTTTGCTTATTTCATTGTATGGTTACACTATAATTTGTAACTAGTCTTCAGGTTAAACAACAGGTAAATTTCCAAGTTTTTCTGTTACAGTGTTACAATCAGTGTCCTTGTAACAATATTCTTTATGTGCTCATGTGTAAAATTATGGAAACTATACTTCTAGAAGTGGAATTACTGGGTCAAAGGATATGTGTGCATTTTTAATTTTTAGACATATAGCCAAATTACCACCCCTTTGAAGAGGTTGTGCTAAGCTATCCTCTTGAGACTCAAAAATGTGAATGGGATTCAACAGATCTTCATCAGAGTATGCATCAGGATCGTCTGGGATGCTTTTTCAGATTTCATATGCCTAGTTTTCCCTCACTTAACTTCCCCCCATGTGATTCTAACTTATTCCTTTCAATTTACAGAGGGAGACATGGAAGCTCAGAAAGATAAAAGTGACTTGTGCAAGACAGTGTGGATGATGGTTGTTTTTAAGCAGGGCTAATATTTGTATTTGTCCAATACCTTTCATTGGAAGTGCTCAGAGTCGATATGTAAACATTGTTGCATTATTTTTCTCCACCTTCACCTTCAAGATGCAGGTGAAGTTTGATTTATAAGCAGGAAGTTGGCCAAATATAGAATCTTATGTTTTTAATTCTAGTTCAATAACTAATAAATGTTCCCAAATGCCAAAGCTGAAAAAATGTTTTATTAGTGAGTCTTGAGTACAACAAAAATAGCAATAATATAACACTGACTTAATAAAACTGACCAGCAAACCCACAAATAACCCAACATTAAAATTTGCTTTAGTATAGCCTCTATAGGAAAGAGACTGCATTAAATGTTACACTATTTAAGTTCTTATCCATTTGTGTCAGTATATGGGCATAGATTCTTTTTTATATATATAGTTGTGATCAGTACATGCAGAATGATTTTTGTATTCTTGAATAGCTTCAACTGTTCACTTATTTATGTATCTTTATTATTTTAAATCACAGAATAGTATCCTATTCATTGATAGCCGTAGTTTGTGCACTCTTTTATTTTTATTTTTATTCTCCTTTTACTTAATTGGTACTTCTGAGCACCCTGTTCAAATACTTTTGGATTTTTTTTTTGGACTCCTACCCTTAAAGTGGGTTCACTGAGTCAGGATATGGCTTCAGTACCGAATTGCTATCTGCGAAGGTTTGAACTAATTTACAACACCATCAGCAATTTATGTGGCCCTGTTTCCTGACAATCCAGCCAGTGCTATTAGAAACAAAAGCTAATATTTGATCTTATTAATTTAAAAGAAATGTAATGGTTTTTTGAATTATATTTAATTTACATTTCTTTAGAAAGAGAGACCAGTAGCTCTTTAGATTTTGAAATTAAGTACAGTGCTGTGATAATTATATCCAAGAGTTATGTAGCTAAAACCAAATTATCGTTGAAAAAAGGCATTGTTGATGGGGCAGAAATATTGTGGAAATTTAAGATAAGATCATATTGGTAATGAAACATAAGACTAGATGCTGTTCAGTTGAAAATACCAGACATTGTGCCAGGAGTTGGGGATACCCTAGAGTATCACAGATGTGATGTCTCTCCTTATGACACTTATGGGGCTAATGCAGTAAACAGACATTAATCACCTTATGGTAATTACAAATAGGATCAGAGGGGAAGAATAGGATATCTTACGAGTGCCAAAGAAGTTCAACATTAAACGACATTTTCAGTTGAACAGCACGTACCAGTACAAAGACTCTGAGCTGGGAAGGGATTTGGTACTTTAGGGCGTTGCTTCTCTAACTTGAATATTCACATGAACCATCTGGGGATCTTGTTAAAATGCCAAGTCCTGATTCAGTAGGTCTGGGATGGGACTTGGGATTCTGCATGACTAACCAGCTCCCAGGTGAGGCAGATGCTACTGGTGGGTGTATCACCCTTGGAGTAGCAGGGGCTAATTGAGAGTTTGCTGAGCACTAGAAGCTGACCAAGGTGAGTACAAACGGGGTAGTTCTCTGCCCTGGCTGCACTTTAAATTAACCTGGGAACTTACAAAATTCAGCAATGCAAGTGTTCCATTCCCAGGTATTCTGGTTTAATTGGTCTAGTATAGGACCTGAGAATGTTTATATATTTTAACTCCTCTGGTGATTCTAACAAGGCAGGGCTGAGAACCACTGGACTAGAGAGGGGCAGGGGCCAGAGTGTGGGCCCTATACACTATGCAAGGATTTTGGACTTTATCCTGAGGGCAGAGCAAAGCCATTGAAGGATTTTAAGGAGAGTGAATTGATCTGATTTGCAGTTGTAAAACTTCACTGTGGCTGCAATCTAGAGCAGTAGTTTTCAAAGTAATGTTGATAAGATGATTCATTGGGA